TTTCCCAATTTGCCTTAGTGCCAAACAGTATAATAAATTCTGACATAAGCATTAAATTAAAAGCATCACTTCATTTAAAATATTACCAGAATGAATTAAATTACCTTTTGGTTGTGTTCTGGTACACAAAAACTTTTCTCTTTTATGTGAGGCAGAAAAGATTAAGTGCTACTCAATGTGCCTCTCTTTTTGATCTTTTCTTTCTTGTCTTTCCCTCTGCATTCAAAACTTGGCCAGAGTTAGAATGTAAAGAGAGAGAGAGGGAAAAAAAAATTTTTTTCCCAATAATTCTCTGAAAGTTTCCAAATCTTTTACTCTCAAACCCTCTGTTCACACTGTTCATGTAAGTAGCTTGTGCTTTTCTTTCTACCCATACATCTCTCATTCCTACATGCTTAAACTTTCTTGCCTTTCCTTCTACCTACTTATCCCTCTGATGGACTTTAAAGCTGCACATATCTTACTTCTTTCTAATTCAGATCTGATACTTCGAGGATCCTTCTCGACTTGCTTTTTACCAATCATATAACCTAAATAACCAAGTTTTTTCTCTCTTTCTTTGTCCCATCCACTTGCTCCTCTGAGGCTGCTATAATCAGGGAGGGAGAGGGGGAGAGAAAGAAAGTGGCATTCCAGAGTCCAGCTGCAGCCTTGAGATGCTACTCTTGCTACCTGGCTGCAAAGGGTGTCAGATTACACATGGACACTCACTTGTACCACACAGACAAACACAGAACAGATACATGCTAATGACAGGGAGAATCCAAAAGCTCAGAGAGACTTGTCAGAAATCCCCTGGATAAATCAGACAATTTTTTTTGTGGTTCTCCAGATCATATGGAGACCAGGCAAAATTTTCCTTAAGGTCTTGGAGACTGAGCTTTCTCCAGTTCTGTAAAAGATAACCTAGGGGCGAATCTCAAGATGTAGAGGGAGATTGGCCCATCCTCTTTGCCTTTAAGCCTAAAAAAAAAAAAAAAAAGACTTGTTCCTATAGTCTGCTTGCCTTGACCAGCATCCTGGTGAGGGAGAAAAAACCTACAAAAGTTCCCAAACAAGGTATCCCTTGTCTTTTTGTTTTGGGTTTTTTTTTTGGTTTTTTTTTTGAGGGGGGGTGGAAATCGCAGTTAAGTGACTTGCACATGGTCACACAGCTAGTGAGTGTCAAGCATTTGGTCTAAGGCTGGATTTGAACTCTGGTCCTCCTGACTTCAGGGCTGGTGCTCTATCCACTGTGCCACCTAGCTGCCCCAAGGCGTCCCTTGTCAAGAGGGAGATCTTCTAGAGCCTGTTACAGGCTCGACCCAAAGCCCCAGCAAGTCTTCCTAGGTGCTTGAGGGGCGACCCAACTACAAGGCAAGAAGAAAAGGAGACTTGGAGAAGGCTTGAGACTTTCAGACAAGCCCCACGTGGGGCGCCATAAATGTTGCATTCTGAGAGGTTGAGACCCCTCAAAAACTGAAGTATAGGACGGGGTCATCTGGAATGAATTCACAGACTCAAGCATTCTTTAAGTCAAGGTGGCAAAGATTTATTGTTACGCTTTTCAGCGGGCAAGGATTCTTAAGGAACCTGTGAGAGACTGAGGATGGAGCTAGGGTTTATATGGAAAAGGGCATGGGAAAGGAATGCCAGGGATACTGATTAGGTAGTCCAAAGGTCCAGGTGTCTTTGGGAGCTATCAGTGGGAAAGTACAGGGGGTATACCAGACAGGGAGGGAGATGACAAAGGTATGGATCATGGGAGTCTGGCAGGAGGAAGAGTCCTTGGGCCAGCCAAGGGCAAAACTCCTTGGGCTGGGCAAGGCACCCCTCTCCCTCTGTCTTGATGAGAGAATGCTCTGCAGCAAGGGAAAGCTTTCTCATAATACAGGAACTTACTAAAGAATTCGGAGGCTTCCAGAGACGTGAGCTGAGGCTGGGGCCTGAGCAGCCCAGCACTCTCTCACCCAGCTTTGTGTAGCTGCACCAGGAAGAGAGATAAGGGTCTTGCTGAGGCCCACACATGAGTAATTGCTAGGCACAGTGCCCTTGGGCTGGGCAGTGGTTGTCAGAGACAGTATTTCTGAGACTAGAGAGAACTTGGGGTCCAAGTGCAAGCACAAGCTCCCAAGCACCCCATCCGAAACGCTAAGGATGATTTATGGGAGGAGATGGTAAATGACTGCATAGGATGAGAAGGCGTGTAAGGCTTGCACCATGCACTGTTGGAGAGATTGCACACTTGAGTGAGACCACAGACTGATAGAAGTAAACCAATTTAAAGAAAATGATGCAATCTGTATCCATTTTAATGTGGCTTTTATTCAGCCCTTGTTTCTTTACACTGCTTTTATTGTCCCTTCTCTTGCAGAAGTCGGGGTGCTGAGCATCTTGAGGGCTATCATTCTATACAACACAACTCTTCAACCTTCAAAAAAGAAAAAATACAGCTTCCAGGCCATTTTACTTATTAACCTTTGTTTGGAGCCAGTAGGAACTATTCCTGAAAAGTGCCAGTGGGGGAGGCAGCTAGGTGGCGCAGTGCATAGAGCTCCAGCCCTGAAATCAGGAGGACCTGAGTTCAAATCTGGCCTCAGACACTTGACACTTAACTAGCTGTGTGACCCTGGGCAAGTCACTTAACCCCGATTGCCTCACCAGAAAGAAAAAAAAAATTAAAAGAGTGGCAACTACTCTGAAAAAAAGCATTTCTCAAAGTAGGGTTTATCTCTTTTCCATTAAGCTTCTCCCCCTAAAAAATATTTAGTTAATTTCTGGATGACATTTTTTTCACCATCTCCCCCACATAGAACATGACTTTTAATTTGCAAGGATTTACAGATGCCATGTTTAAAGCAGGCATATATGCATGTCCCAGAAGTATTAGTGCAATGTAAAGCTTTTAATAACAAAATTGCAGTGAGACTTTTGGATACCCTCCATATCGATTATTACAGCATTAGCAAGAAAGATTTGGCGTTACAAGATTATTCAATCAGTGGTTTTTATTTCTTGGTATTCTATTTATAGACAGTACATAATGATATTCCTAAAACACAGGTCTGACTCAAATTAGTCTGTTGCTCACTAGGCAGGTAACACACATTTATTAAGTGCTTACTATGTGCCAGGCACAGTGCTAAGCACTGGGGATATAAATACAGCCAGGTGGCAAACAGGATAGAGCACTGGGCTGGGAGTCAGGAAGACCCGAGTTCAAATCTGTCCACAGACACTTTCCTCGCTGTGTGAGCCCAGGCAAGTCACTTAACCTCTGTTTGCCTGATTCCTGAACTATAAAATGGGGATAATCATAGCACCTACCTCACAGGGTTGTTGCGAGGATCGAAATTTGTAAAGTGTTTAGCACAGTGTCTGACGTGGTAGGAGCCTTATGAATGCTTATTCCCTGCCTGCTCTTCTTTCTGATCCCCCAAATACAAGCAAAAAGGAAGACAGGCTCTGCTCTCAAGGAACTCATGTTCCAATAAGGGAAGCCAACACCTAAAAGGGGGCTGAAAAAGAGGGATGATGGAGATCAGGAGGGAAGGGACCTGTGCCATGGCATGGTGGCAAGTTCCATAGTCAGAAACATAGCCAAGAGGAGAAGAATAAAGTATGACCTGCCTGGATTTTCCTCTGAAATGGAGGGAGGCCCTGAAAGGAACTCACCAGTGGGAGAAAGGGCTTGGCATGGCAGAAGTTCCAAGATGTTCCCGGGTGATAAGGCCCTGGGTATTGAGGGAATTTCCGGGATAAGACGGCAGCCGAGGCATGGAGGCAAAGTCCTTAGAGTCAGAACCAGAGCCAATACCTCCTACCTCTAGGGTCAAACATAGGCTCTTAGTATTTCAATTCTTCACAACCTGGCACCAGCCCGACTTATTCTACATTAGTCGCTTTAATACACTTTGTGGTTGAGCCAGTTTTCTTTTTCTTTCTTTCTTTCTTTCTTTTTTTTTTTATTTTTTTTTTGGATAAGCCAGTTTTCTTGCTGTTCCTTACACATGACTCTCCATCTTTCATCTCTGGAATGTACTCTCTCCTCAACTCTCTTAGAATCCCTAATTTCCTTCAAAGTTCAGCTTCAAGGGCCATTTTCTACATGAGGCCTTTCCTTGTCCCTCCATTTTAGTATACTCCCCTTCCTCCCAATACCTTTTTTTTTTAATATACTTTTATATGCCCATAGATTTACAAATCTATAACTAGAAAGTACTTCAGAACACCTTCTCATCAAATTCTTTCTTGTGTACAGAAGAGGAAACTAAGTCTCAGAAAAGCTAAATAATGGGGGCAGCTAGGTGGCACAGTGGATAGAGCACTGGCCCTGGAGTCAGGAGGACCTGAATTCAAATCCGGCCTCAGACCAAACACTTGGCACTTACTAGCTGTGTGACCCTGGGCAAGTCACTTAACCCCAATTGCCTAAAAATTAAAAAAAAAAAAAAAGCTAAATGATTTGCCCAAGGTGGTGCCAGTAGTACATAGCAGAACTAGGATCTGAATTTTGGTCCCATGATTCCCAATTCAGCAGGAAAGTTCAGAGCTCTTCCCATTGAATCAGGTTTTTTTTTTTTTAAGGTGATTCTTTTTTTTTTATAAATGTATTTTGATTTATCAACAATCACTTCCACAAGCTTTTGAATTTAAAATTTTTCTCCCCCTCCCTCCTTTCCCAAGATGGCTCACAATCTGATATAGGTTATGCATATACATTCCTATTAAACATATTTTCACATTAGTGATGTTGTAAGGAAGAATTAGAACCAATAGGAGGAACCATCAGAAAGAGGAAACAAAACAAAAAGAGCAAATAGTGTGCTTCGATCTGCATTCAAACTCCATAGTTCTTTCTTTGAATGTGGATAGCATTTTCCATCATGAGACCTTTGGAGATGTCTTAGGTCCTTACATTGCTGAGAAGGGCTAAGTCTATCAACGTTAGTCATTGCACAATGTGGCTGTTACTGTGTACTGAATCATGTTTTTGATGATTGTTTTTATATCTTTAACAGGAGTAAATCAGCCCAAATCAGGAATAAGTGAAGATTACAATGATGAAAATGAAGCCGAGTCTGAAAGAGACAAGCAGGCAGCTCTGGCAGGCAATGATAACAACCTAAGTGGTAAGTGTTGTTTGGAGTCTGGTCCTGCCTCCTTTTATCCCTCCTTCTCCTTGTAATGGCTGACCATTTCAATCCAAATCATTATCTTGTGAAGTTTAAACTTTTTGGGAGTACCCTCTCTTCTTCAGGAGACTTGGCAGAGGCCAGTTGTGTTTTTGAAAAACAGATTTATGTTGATATCATTCATTTTTACATTGTCTAGATTTCTTTCTTTTTTCCTCCTGCTGTCCCCTCCCAGAGAGTCATGTTTTATAATAGTTAAAGAAAAAAAAGAGAAATAGGAAAAAACAGTTCTATAAAATCAATTACAACATTACAAAAAATCTGACATTATATGCAGTCTTCCATACCTGTGGACCCTGACCTCTACAGAGGAGTGGGGCGGAGGTATCTTCTCATAACTCTTGTCATAGCTCCTCTTTGGGGATTAAATAACCAAGTCCTTTATAATTTTGCAGTGCTCAATTTCAGTTGTCTTGTAGTTCTTTCCATTTATGCTGTTGAACTAGATTACATTTAAAAAAAAATTGGGGAAGGGGGTAGCATTCAGAACCAAGTTTCATGTCAAGGACTTCTATAGAGATTACGTATTGTGATAAGGTCTCTGTAGAGTGGTTCAGTCGTAATTGATGGATTCATTCAATGTGTTTATCTTGCTGATGCCCCTCAGATCAGGGAGTGTCCCGTAGAGCTTTGCCCTGGGCCCTCTCCTCTTCTTCCTCTGTACTACTTCACTTGGTGATCTCATCAGCTCCCATGGTTTTAATTATTATCTCTATTTTGATAATCTGCAAATCTGTCTATCCCACTGTCACGTCTCGTCTTATGCTTCTTTCTAATTGCCTTTCAGACATCCCAAACTGGATGTCTGCTGGACATCCTCATATTCAGTAAACTCCTGTGGTTCCCAGTAAACTCCTGTGGTTCCCAGATCAAATATAAAATCCTCTGTGGTTCAAAGACCTGCATAACCCAGTTTCCTCTCCCACTCAACCCCTACCCTGCCCCGCCTCAACCTCTACCTTTCCAGTCTTTTTACACCTTACTCCCCACCATATACTCTTCCATCTAGTGATACTGGTTTCCTGGAAGTTCCCCACTGGAACCGTCCATCTGAAAAAGATGTAGAGATTTCGGTGGACCGCAAACTCAGTATAACTAGAGGGTGCTGTGGCAGTAAATGCTGGTTAAGTGTGAAGCTGCATTAAAAGGCATAGCATTGAGGAATGAAGTGCTTGTCTCACTGTACTTTGCCTTATCTGGAATATGGTGTTTGGGTATGGGGATTACATTTTAGGAGGGCATTGGTAAACTGCAGGGAATGCAGAGAAGGGCATCCAGGATTGTGAAAGACTTAAAGTTTATGCTTCATGTGAATTGACAAAAGCAGCTAGGGACGTTTAGCTGAAAGATAAAAAGCCTTAAGTGAAAATATGGTAGCTGTTTTCAAGTATTTGAAGGGCTGCTATGTGAAAGGGGAATTAGATACGTTCTGCTTGGCACAACAGGGCAAAACCAGGAGCACTGGGTGGAAAATGCAAAGAGGAAGATAGAAGCTTCATGTCAAGAAAAACTCCCAATTAGAGCTATCCCAAAGATGGGCTGCCTCAGGAGAAAGTGGGTTCCTCCTCACTAGGAATTTTCAAGTTGAGGCTAATTGACCACGTTGCAGATATTGTAGATGAGAGTTCAAAGCAAAAAGGGCTGCAAGCAGAAGTCCTGGATTCAGATTCTCCTTCTGATGCTTTATATTTGCTTTACCTTGGGCAACTCACTTCCTTGAGCCTCATTTTCCATCTGTAAAATGAGGAGATTGGACTATATGATCTACAATATGTCCTTTCCAGCTTTAAATCAGTGACTCTATGACTAGATGGCCTGACATTGGTCCTTCCAACTCCTGATATTTTATGCCTTAGTGTTTTGATGATTGTTATTTTATAGATTATAAAATAACCATAACAAGAGCATGTTTTCTTTACCAAACTGTACTGTTATAAATCTGTTCCTCACTATATTATGCTTTGAATCAAATTATATAAATAAAGTGCTTCTACTCCTATGAAGCTTAGGAATTTGAAATCTAGGCAGTTCCTACGTTTCCTTGGCACAGAATAGATATTATGGGAGCCTCACATTCCCTGCCTAATTAACACACATATAGCTTCATTCTCTAAAGTGGTTTGCCAGAACACAGAAACCATCGCACCAGGAGTTGGGATGCTGTGCTATGTCTATCAGAGTAATTCTGCAAAAGATGTTTTGAACCTCCCTTTAAATGTGAGGTCGCAATTACTTTTATAGCTTCCTTCAGAAGTGTTCTGAAACCTCCTTCTGAGAGCTGCTATTTGTGTGCTGGTGGTCTTTATTTAGTCTGAGACTAAGTATAATAAACTGAGGAGGCAGGGAAAAAAAAACAAAACAAACCAAAGCCCTTTCAGAGATGCTTCTTGGTGGGAGAAATACCCTAATCATCAAGTAGAGTTGTACTGGATTATCTCCTATGATATTTTGAAGCAGCAAAAGGATTTTGAAGAATTGTACGATGCAATAGACATCATGCTGGACCTGGTGTCACGACTTTGATTTAGATGCAGTAAGGGTCTCTGAAACAATGTAGGTGGCCATGAGCAAGCACTTCTCTAAAGCCTATTTCCCCATCTACAAATAGGAATATTTTCAGTGCCTACTGAAATTTCATGGGGAGATTTTGAGGAAAGTGTTTTTAAATTTTCAAGCACTGTAGAAATGTGAGTTATTACTGGAGAGGTGAGAAAAAAAAGTCATCAGTTAAGACTATAACTTTCGACAAATCCCTTTTAGTGGTAAGTATAATTATGAAATGTTTGCTTCATTTTTGATAGAGCTGGCCCACTGGTCTGAGGTTAAATTCATGATGAACTAGAGATGTAGGTGTGTATTATATACCCCTTTAAGTCTTTCACAATCCTGGGTGCCCACCTCTTCTGCATTCTGTGCAACCTGTCACTATCCTCCTGAAATGTAATGCCCAGACCCAAACACCATTGTGAGACTATCACTACCTTTGATAATACAAAGTACACACTTATGTAATTAACATAAATTTAATATTTAATAGAGGTTAATAGTTACTGCATGATCGTTGTTGTGACTTGTTGGTTATGTCTGTGGGATTCATTTAATAGTATATATCCTTAATCAGGAAACCTAACTCCCATTATAAGGTTGCTCCTATGAGGAAATGTAATAATCCACTTTATAATACAGTTTGTAGAAATTCATCCATTATGGTGGGAAATGAGTATGCTGATTTCTAATACTGTTAATACAGAGAATTTTCTTTTCCTTTTAGAACCAGATGTTGAAGAGCAGAACAAAGACAACATCAATGATAACTTAGTTGAAGAACGTGAAAAGAGGGATCAAACAAAGTGAATCCAGGGTTAAAGAGAGTGCTTACAACAGACGATCCCTGTGACAATGGAACGTTCATAAATATGAAGCAATCTAATGTGTGCACTGGGAGAGCAGTGTTGGGAAATTTTAATATGTATACAAGATGCCAATAATAGGGGGGAAAATAAGAATGTCAAATATTGAGACAAGATTTGGGTTTGTTTGTTTTTTCCCCTGGAATCGGCTTCAAGGCTTCTAAACGGGTAGAGATTTTTAGAAAGGAAAAACTGACCACTTTTTTTTTTAATTATTGGAAAAATGCATATAACCCATGAAAAGACTGTCCTTGAAATAGCCCAGGAGTCATATTTCAAGTATGATTCTTAATGTGGCAACATGGCTCCAATTATTCTTAAATGTTATTAAAAACTTTCTTATAAGAGTCCTGCTTCTGGTCATTAAGAGTGAAGTCCACTCTATCTAGAGGACCCTCATGGTTTTTCCTTTTTCTGCAGTGGAGTCCATTTCTCCTTTGACTGCTCAGTGTGTCACTTTTACATCTGTTCTCAAGGTGAGCAGCATGTGTATTGAGGACTGGATAGCTGGCTCTCCTGCTTTGAGACAGAGGCACTTCCTGGTAATTCTGACAATCAGAATAGCCCTTAAATACTGACTGTTAATACACAAAACATCACGAGCAACACTTTTAAGCAAGACTAAATGGAAAGTTCTTGTTTTGGTTGGGTGTTGCGTGCATTTTATTTTTTAAAAAAATTCATATAACACTATTTTTAAATGATTGTAACTTACTATGTGTATTTCCTTTCCAGTTAGGGACTTCTGTAGTCGTATTATGGACAAAGGAGGACTATGATTAACTTATAAACACAACTGGAGAGTGTTAATGTCACATGGGCATTTTTACAGCACAGGACACAAAGACAGAAATGTAGAATTGTTATTACTAAAGTGACTTTGATCTTGAAATGAATCCATGCCTACCTGGGTTAAAACAAAATTAATAGAAGATATATGATGTTCTGGATTTGGGAAGGTTTGGAGAGAAAGGAGAAAATGAGGGGGGTTTTGTCCTACATTTTACACATTAGCTTGTAAGGAGAAAGAAAATAACCTATGTAACAAGGTTTCTTCTGATCTGAATAATTTAGTTAGATGATGTTTATTTTTGGAAATGAATTCAACTTCTTTTGCTGTTTAATAGTTAACGTGACTACTTTGTTATAACACAGACTGTGAACACAGGTAATAGATTTGAAGTCTGTGCTTAATATTTAAGGGAAAGAGGCATCCAACAAAACTGTCTATGAAATTACTTTTTGAATGCAAATTTCCATAATTTAGAAATCTCTAAAATATTATATGGCATAGAATAAATTAAAAAAATAGAGTCTGTCTTTAAGATGTAGTTAGAAACATAGTTTTAGAATTGGAAGGGAGCCTTGGGGATCATTTCCTCCATCTCCCTAACTTTAAACACAAGCAGATAGAAGCTCATTGAGGTTAAATAGCCTTTCCAAGGTCACACAGAGCTAGAACAAAAACCCAGGTCTCATGAATTGCGATCCAATGTTCTTTTCATTATACCACACTGCACTGGTATGAGTTAATGTCACAGACAGGTTAAGATGAGAGACTTTTTGCCTTTTCATGCTACAATGTCTTTTTTGTTTAGTCTTATGTCTTCCTCCTTACTCAGTTACCAGAAACTTTTTAGAAAGCACTTCAACAATCCCATGGTTTCACTTATTGTGACCTTATTAGATTGTTGTGGCCAAAAACTGTAATCACTTGGTAGCCAGCCTTGGGGTGAAAGAGTATCTTTGGACTTTGCAGGCAAGGCTGGTCCTTAGAGAATGACAGAGACGGTGGCTGGGTCCCTATTCTATGGCTTAGCACAACCTGTCAGAACTTGTGCCATGCAGGCATAGCTTTTGAGAAACCAGGTTCACCTTCCTGCCATAACAGAAAAAAAAAAGCTGCAAACAATAAAGTCAACTGGAAGACATAAAAATGGACTTATAAATAAAGAAGGCCTTGCCTAAGCTCTTCTCTGTGGTTTTTGGTAACTTACTGATAGAAATGACATAAAATCTCTCCTGCCTTTGAGATGCTGTCTACAACGTCTCATCCTCCTCTTACTCATGCAGTGATACATTCAGGGATTGAAAAATAAAATCAGCCATTGTCAATTCATCCACTAAAATCATTTTGGTAGCCCATGAAAGAATCTGACACACCATCAGCAAGACAGCATATTTCACGTTTTTTCCCTTAGTGGTGGTGATGGTTTGGGCTGAGTCATCTACGTTAAATTCTGCGCCCTCTTGTGGCCACTGGCACATGTGAATGAGGCAGGAAGCTTCTGTGGCCACTGAAGAATTATCTTCTCTATAATAGGCATCTAATCCATGATTTTAGTTTTAATAGCACCAGGTGCTAATCAACTAAGGAAGGAATAATTTTTCTAAATAGCCAGCAAACGACTTGTCCAAGTACACTGTTAAATCATAGAAAATTAGTCTCCATTACTGAAGTTTAAGAAACTCTGTTTTCCCAAAATCAGTTACATTAGCCTCAAATAATATCAAGCATTAGGAATGTAGTCACCTTAGGGTTGTCTTTTCACAAAAGAGAATCTTAGGGTAGTTTTCCTTTACAACTTCAGTCATGTGTTCTGACCCCTTAAGCAACTCTTTTCAAGAGATACCATTAATAGTTTTATTGTGTTAGGTATATGAACTGTACCTTTCTGTAATGTAGGGGGTAGAATGGGGACAGAATTTACCCTTTGAAGTAAATCACCAGCTTACCACTGTTACAAATTTTGAAGGAAGAATAGCTTTGGTGTTATTTTTTTTTAATGATTATTCTTACAACTTGTAAGTGCTATTTGTTAAACATTTGCCTGCAGTAAAACCTGGAATGGTGAAATTAAACTGTGAAGAACTGTTTTAAAATCATTTTTAGGGTAGATTAGATCCATTCCTACAACTCTGTATTTGGCTTAGATTAGTTTATATTATGAAATAATGAAGGGGATAATGTTTACTGAACTTGGAAAAACTTGTCTAACATTTTTGTTTTCAATGTTTGCTTTGAAATTGTTTAACTTTAGAAAAAGATTTAATACTTTAAAATAAAAATGAATTCTGTTCTATGCATGGGTTACTGCATTATTTTATTCTGATAAACAGTTGAACATTAGTGTCTTTTTGATGATGTATGAAACTGGTGGCTACTCATCTGAAGCAGAGACTTAAATTTAACACATTTGCTAAGCAAATACTGATTGACGAGGATGGTAGTATTAAATATTTGTATTTATTCTCTATATATCTTGGCTATCAGACAACTGTCAGATTTAATAGAAATTTTGCCCCCCTCATTTGACTACTTACCTTCTTATTCCATATGCACTAATTTTATTGGTCCAACATTTTTCATTTTGCGTGATCAAAACTTTCTTTTGTAATTAATTGCCTCTATTTTTTGTTTGGTTAAGAATTCATGTTGTAGGGGCAGCAAAGTGATGCAGTGGATAGACCTTTGGCCTTGGAGTCAGGAGGACCTGGGTTCAAATCTGGTCTCAGACACTTGACACTTAACTAGCTGTGTGACCCTGGGCAAGTCACTTAACCTTGATTGCCTCACCAAAGAGCAAAAAAAACCCCAAAAAACATGTCATACCCGTAGCTGTCAATGACATACGACAGCCTTCTCTTTTATATGATTGTTAATATTTAGGTTGCTTATCCCTTTTGAATTTATCATGGAATATGGGTTAAAATGACGGTCATTGCCTAAATTTCTGTCAGACTGCCTTCTAGTTTTCTCAAAAGTTATCGAATAGGGAGTTCTCCCCTAAGTAATATGTTTATCACATTACTTTTTTTTTTTTTTTGAGACCAGATCTCCCTATTTTGTCCAGGCTTGAAGTGCAGTGGCCACTTATGGACCTGAAACCATAGTTGATCACTATGGAATCTTTACCTGTTGTTTCCAACCTTGGCTAGTTCACTCCTCCTTAGACCTTAGATATCCTGGTGCCCTCTCCTTCCCCCTCCCCCCAGTTTTTGGGGCTTACCGTGTTGGTCCTCAACTTATATCTAGACCCCTGATCGAATTAGCCTACAGCTCAAAACTCCCAAGCTCAAGTAATCCTCCAGCCTCAGCAGCCTCAGCATCCTCAGCAATAGGCATTACACACGTTCCACCACACCCAGCCATCATGTTTCCAAACTCTTGTTCTTGTCTGCTTCCTTCTGTTCTCTTTAGTACTTAAAAACATTAATAAAAAACTTAAATGGCTCTCTTTCTGTGGCAACACTGTAACTAGTTGTTCTCCCCACCCTCTATTTAAATAACAGGGAAAAAAAACACACCATGTAACAAATAAGCATAGCCAAGCAGAACAAATCTATGTAGGGGCCACGTCCCAAAACGTATTCTCTCTTTTTGCACCTTGAGTCCATCACTTCTGTTAGAACGTAAATAACATGCTTTATCTCAGATGTTTGAGAGATGTGGCTGGTCACTGCACTGAACAGCAGTCTTAAGACTTTCAGTTTTTCTTTATGATATAGGTTGTAGAAATTGTTCTGGTTCTTTCACTTCACTACACTTAGTTTCTATTTCCCAGGACTCTTTGAAATGGTCTCTTTCAATATTTCTTACAGCACAATATTTCCATTACACTCATACACCACAATTTGTTCAGCTATTCCCCTGTTGATGGGCACCCTCTTAGATTCCTCTCTTCTTTCCTCAGAAAGTTTATTTTGCTTGTGATTATTTTCCTTCTTGGTATTATCTTTCTGAACTAGCCCTTCTTATTCCTACTGGTGCCCTACTGAGTTTGATACTTTACTACACCAAACTGTTATGTTCAACCATTCTTTATCTGGTTTAGGTATGACTGGAGCTTGTCTGATGCCTTTTCCCACTACTTCGTTCATGTTTGTGTACTCTGTCTCCTGTTATCCAGTTATGAGAAGTAGCAAGTTCCATGTACTTTCTCCCTTCCACACTAGTAATCCTCTCTGCTTCTTAAAACTCTTAGAACGAATCTGCCCCATTGTTTTCTTATTTAATTCTCTCAATCCTTTTTGAAGACATTAAGGTTCTGAAGGGACACTTGTTTCTTCTCTCCCTATTAAAATCTTAGCACATCATCATACAGTTCCTTCCAGGTGCTCAAATACATTTACTGTTTTAGGTTTCTCAACTCATATTTGTCAGAAGTTCCTATTCAGCTCTAGTTTTTCAATCAGAAATACTTAAAAGCACTATTCCACTAAACGTCCATTTTTCTCCCTTAGGATTATATACTCAGTGTTACAGGGGAAGTTGTCCTTAGTTGGAAGCTTGTATATTTTGCCTTTTGGAATACTGTACTCCTAACTTTGCTTTTCTTTCTAGTTGAAGTTGCAACGTCTTGTGTGATTCTGACTGTGTTTTCTTGGTACTTTAAACTGCTTTCTGGATGCTTGCTGTATTTTTTATTTGATCTAAAAGCAGCTCTGGACTTTGGATATGACATTCCTAGGGCTTTGGGGAGTTTCTTTCAGGAGATGGAGTCTATTTTCTTCCTCTGGTCCTAAGAGATCTGGGCTGTTTTATGATTTTTTGAAATGCAGTGTGTGAGTTCTTTTTTTTCTTTAAAGTATAGTTTTCAGGTTGTCCACTGATCCTTTTTTTTTATTTTAATTTTCCCAATTGAATGTAAAAGCAATTTTTTGGCATTTTTTTTTCTTAATTTCTGAATTCCAAATTCTTTCTTTCCTTCTTTCCCCTCTTCCCTTCTAGAGAAGGCAACATACAGTCATGCAAAACATATTTCTATATTAGTCATGTTGTGAGAGAAAACAGAGCAAAAAAACAAGAAAATTTTTAAAAGTTAAAAACAGTATGCTTCGATTTGCATTCAGACTTCAGTTTTTTCTCTGGATGTGGATGGTATTTTCATCATAAGTCCTTCAGAATTGTCTTGTTTCATTGTATTGCTGAGAACAGCTAAAGGCATTCACACTAGATCATTGTACTATATTGCTGTTACAGTGTACAGTGTTCTCCTGGTTCTGCTCATTGCATTTTGCATCAGTTCATCTAAGTTTATCCAGGTTTTTCTAAGAGCATCCTGCTTGTCATTTCTTATAGCATAATAGTATTCCATCACAATTACATACCACAACTTGTCCAGCCATTCCCCAACTAATGGCCATCCCCTTAATTTCCAATTCTTTGCCACCACAAAGAGCTGCTATAAATATTTTTTGTACATGTCTCTTTGGGATGCAGACCAGGTAGTGGTATTGCTTGGTCAAAATGTATGCAGTTTTATAGCCCTTTGGGCATAATTCTAAATCCTCTTCAGAATGTCTGAATCATTTCATAACTCCAACAATGCACTAGCATCTCAGTTTTCCCACATCTCTCCAACATTTGCCATTTTCCTTTTCTGTCATATAGCCAATCTGACAGGTGAGGTGGTACTTCGGTTATTTTAGTTTGCATTTCCCTATTCAGTAGTAATTTAGAGCATTTTTTCATATGCCTATAGATAGCTTTGATTACTTCATCTGAAAACTGCCTGTTCATATCCTTTGACCATTTATCAATTCAGGAATGACATTCTTATAAATTTAACTCAGTCCTCTTAGATTTGAGAAATGAGGCCTTTTAAAAGAGAAACTTGTTTTAAGAATTTTTTTCAGTTATGATTCTCTCCATCCTATCTTCCCACATTTGTCATTCTCTCCCCTTTCACCCTGTCCATCCTTAAGTGTTTTGAAAGTGTTTTGCTTCTGACTACCACTACTACCTGCCTTCTTTTATTCCTTTCCCCTCCTACTGGGTAAGATAGATTTCTATACCCAAGTGAGTATATATGTTATTCCCTCTTGGAGCCAACTCTGATTAAAGGAAGGTTCACTTGCTTTCCCCCACCCTCTTTACTCGTCTCCCCCTCACCCCACT